AGAGAGAGAGAGAGAGAGAGAGAGAGAGAGAGAGAGAGAGAGAGAGAGAGAGAGAGAGAGAGAGAGAGAGAGAGAGAGAGAGTCTTTGTGCGTATGGCTATTGAGCAGCTCAATTCTTCATCGAATCCAACACACCCTTATCATGGACGTATCTGACTGCAAATATCGTTTCCATACATTGTCCCTGTAACGTAGACATCTTCAGGTACAATACAGCCATGATAAGGGCGCGTTGTGTTGGGGGAAGGAGGACATGTTTGCCAGCCTCTTGGGATAAATGTTATGAATAATGTCGTAGTTCAAACTACATCCTTCACAAAGAAGTCAAAATTCGCGCACTTAACAGCCATTTGCTCTAACCACTGAGCTATGCGAATTCGGGGCTTTTCTTTTGCCAGTGTACAGTATATATGCTCACGTATATTAAACCACCAGTACTTGGCCCAGCTAACGTGCCGGTAGTTGGAAGCGCCAGCCAAAATCGAAACGAAACGGTGCCCCGGCGGCTCGGCAGAACTTGGCGCGCAGGGGGGTATCCCGGCTCGGCATCAATAGCTGGGCCAAGTACTGGTGGTTTAAGAGACGTTGGTGATCATTGCCCCCAACAATTTAAGTAGAAAAACGGACTACTTTCTGGACTTTAATTAACAGCAAAATAACAACAATTATGTTTGAACTTCAATGTTGTTATTTGTTTCTTGGGGTAACTTCTCCGCAGTCATGAAAACAGTTTGAAAATGCACTTCAGGCAATCCAGCCAACACAGCACAGCCCCACGTGACCCCATCGAACCTGAAATGTAGGTTATATACATTCACCATTCCGAACCCTTTTACCTAGGTTATATACATTCACCATTACGGACCCTTTTACCTAGGTTATATACATTCACCATTACCGACCCTTTTCCCTCATTGACAAGTGCATTTTCAAACTCAAACCCTGACTGCGCCGTACTTTTCTCTTGTTGGGGGTAACTTCGGCGCAGTCACTAAAATGGGGTTTCTTTGATGGCTGGAAGTTCTTCAAGGGTCAGATGTGACAGCTTTCACGCTGTAGACGCTGTAGACAAGCCCGAGTCCCAGGTCCCGCATCCCAGGTCCCCCGTCCCAGGTAGTGTCTGTAGTCCTTCATATGATTCCGCCGCGAGGACTGTGCGAATGGCCCTAGGGGCATACTCACACTAGGACTTTTTAACGCATTTCTGGACGGAATGGCGGCCACATACATCCATCTATGGCCGTGCGATCAGATACATTTGAGATTCCGCTAGTGTGAGTACCCCCTAAGTCGCCCCATGTAGAGGGAACTCGAACCTGCAACCTAAGGGCCAAATCCGACTGCCAAAGAGGATTGGAATAAACCTCGGAATCTGGACGTGTAGGCGGAGAGGTGCAAACACACTTGTGATTGACCTGCGTTTCTGCATCTGTGCGTGGAACACATCCAGCTTCGGCCATTTATTACAATCTTCTTTGCCACTGGCCCTAAACCACAAGGCCGCATAAGCCACTGCTGGTCGACCAACTGAGCTAAGGGCCATTAAACCACCAGTACCGCGCCGCGTCGGGCTGGGTACCCACCCACCTCGGACTTGACAGCTGGGCGAGGTACTGGTGGTTTAACATCGTCGGTACTATTTTCAAATTTGGCGTTCGGTGGACGAGGCTTTGACGTTGCCCGGCGCGTTGTCGAACTACAGTAGCCCGTGCGCTCTCCTCGATCGGACTTGTGCTTCTGCAGGGGACGATGTCACCGTAGTTTAGCATGTTGTCTAATATGCAGTAAGGGAGGGGAGATTGGCCTGAGGGGAGAGAGAGGGGTGGGGTGCTCCTTCGTCTTCCCGCCGGTGCCCTTGCCCTTGCCCTCGCGGGGCTTCCTTCGTTTCGTCTCTGTCGGTCGTAATCGATCAGTTGTGGCGATGGCGTCTCTAAGCGTGCAGAAGACGGCGGGCGGCCGCGAGTACAAGGTGTCGGACATGTCTCTGGCCGACTTTGGGAGAATGGAGATCGAGATAGCGGAGGTGGAGATGCCCGGTCTGATGGCTTGTCGAGAGGAATTCGGCCCATCGCAGCCGTTGAAAGGGGTGAAGATCAGCGGCAATTTGCACATGACAGTTCAAACTGCGGTGTTGATTGAGACTCTCACGTCGCTGGGAGCCGAAGTGAGATGGTGCTCGTGCAACATCTTCTCGACCCAGGACCATGCTGCGGCGGCCATAGCCAGAGACAGCGCCGCCGTCTTCGCCTGGAAGGGGGAGACGTTGGAAGAGTACTGGTGGTGTATGGAGCGCGCCATCGACTGGGGAGATGGCGGCGGTCCCGACCTGATCGTCGACGACGGCGCCGACATGACGCTGCTCATTCACGAAGCTGTGAAGGCGGAAGAACTCTTCGAGAGAGACGGCGCTCTCCCAGACCCTAGCTCGTTTTCGAACGCCGACTTCCAGATAGTTCTGTCAAACATCCGCGATAATGTGACGAAGTCTCCGAGAAAGTTCCGCGACATTGCGAAGAAGATCGTCGGCGTTTCCGAGGAAACTACCACAGGCGTGAATCGTCTCTGCGCGTTAGAGAAACTGCGCGAGCTTCTCTTTCCGGTAATCAACGTGAACGATTCTGTGACGAAGTGCAAGTTCGACAATCTCTACGGATGTCGGCATTCGCTGCCGGACGCGGTGATGAGGGGGACGGACGTGATGATCGCGGGTAAGGTGGCGATGGTGTTCGGCTATGGCGATGTGGGGAAGGGGAGCGCGGCGGCGCTGATGAGCGCCGGCGCGCGGGTGATCGTAGCGGAAGCGGATCCCATCTGCGCGTTGCAGGCGGTTATGGAAGGATATCAAGTGTTAAGGATGGAGGATGCAGTAGAGTATGTGGACATCTTCGTGGCGGCGACGGGTGGTAAGAGTATCATCATGGCTAGCGACATGGTGAAGATGAAGAACAATGCCATCGTGTGTAATATCGGGCACTTGGATCATGAGATAGATATGACGGGATTGGAAAGCTACCCTGGGGTGAAGAAGACCACCATCAAACCCCAAACGGATAGATGGGTGTTTCCAGAGACGGGGAGGGGTATTATAATGTTGGCAGAGGGGAGGACGGTCAACCTAGGTTGTGCGACCGGACACCCTAGCTTCGTCATGTCTTGCTCTTTCACTAATCAGGTGATGGGACAACTAGAGTTATGGAAGGAGAGAGGATGTGGTACGTACGAGAAAAAGGTGTATCGATTGCCCAAGGAGCTGGACGAGAAGGTGGCTGCCCTCCATCTCTCCAAGCTCGGCGTCAAGTTGACAAGACTCACCGAAGAACAGGCGGCCTACATCAATGTGTCCGTAGACGGACCCTACAAACCTGAGCACTACAGATATTGAGTATTGAGACTCTACCCATCAGGCTGAAAGGCCGTTACTTCACAGGTAGGTAGGAAGGTAGAGCACATGCGAGAGACACAGACTTCGTGCGCGCGCGCGCCCGAAAGAAAGAGAGAGAGAGAGAGAGAGAGAGAGAGAGAGAGAGAGAGAGAGAGAGAGAGAGAGAGAGAGAGAGAGAAGAGTGGAAGATTATTGTTTTTTTATTATTTTGTGTGTGTGTGTGAGAGAGAGAGAGAGAAGAATGGAGGATTATTGCATTTTCTTATGAACAGTTCACCTCCTCCTTGACATGGGTTGAGCGATCGAATAAAACCATGTGTGTGTGTGTGTGTTGCGGGCACGCACACACACACGCACACACACAGAGAGAGAGAGAGAGAGAGAGAGAGAGAGAGAGAGAGAGAGAGAGAGAGAGAGAGAGAGAGAGAGAGAGACGGATCGGACATTGCCGCGAACGTTCAGTTCAACTGCTGTCTCGCGGGGACAGTGATCTGTCCCATAGTCTGGTGTTTGGTTCATCCTGTGATGCGTTCGCCAATGTCATTTCGCATGTCGAAAATTAATTGTTTTTATCATTACTTTGCTCCTCGAAGATTTCTTTGAACTTATTATTACGTCCGAAATCGTTTCTGTCTTTGGAGTGTGTTTTCTTCTTCTTCGTGCCTGGTTTTTTTTTTTTTTTTTTTTTTCAATTTTATGTTGGTCTGAGCTTGTTTGTCTCGAACCTCTGCAGTCTTCAACCTCGTGCTATGAAAGCCTATGATAGCTCATTAGTCTCGGCGCCCGAAGTTTTCTTTTTTTGCAGTTCCCCTCACCACGCGCCATTCCCCCTCTCTCCGGCCCACACCCCCTCCGCGCTGTCCCCCCCCNTAATAAAGGGAAGACGAATCTGAGTTCTTCTCGGAATTGTGTAGAAAACCGGGTTGCTATAAATTTATCTTTTTTTTTTTTCCTTCCTTTCACCAAAAGACATACTCTAATTAATCTTTATTGCTCTGCCGTTTTTTTTTCCCCTCCTTTTTTTTTGTTTAACATCATCGTTGAGACCTGGGACGAAATCCCTTTTCCTGACCGTCCACTCCAGATATCAACGGCCACAGACGAGGAATCCGGGTAGTTAACATATAATAAATGAGACGATTTGCATTTGAAAATCCGGTTATAAGTGGGACCTGCTCCCTGGCATTTCTTATCTGAGTTTTTTTTTCTTTTCTTTCCTTTTTTTTAAATAAATTTGGACCATTTTTCGATTTTTGCGTGTCATCCTTGCGCAGGGGCCATGCTAATCTTCTCTCTCTCTCTGTATCGTTCCAATCCTTTTAGCGGATGTCCCCCAGGACTATCTGACGTCATTTTGATCGATTACTTGTACGGCATACTCGCACCAGGAACCCTTTTTACGAATTCACAAAATTTGTGACACTATTAGAATGCATACTCACACAAGAACTCTTTCGACTGATGTCTGGACGTCATTGCAGTCAGATGCATCCAGCTCGGGCCGTAATTGCGGTCAGATGCATTCACGAAAGTGCTACTGGCAGTTTGAGCATGCCGTCAGTCAGACAGAACCCCCACCCTTTTTTTTTTTTTTTTTTTTCCCCTCTCAGCCACCGAACTTGTCTTTGGGGTTGCAATGGCTCGCGACCGACCGACGGGGCTTAGGATTTTTTTATTTTTTTTTTACGTGGGCTTAGGAATTTCTGATCGCGTGCAAGGTGATTGCAATTGCCTGCCTTCTTTTTTTTTTTTTTTTTTTGTGGGCGGTGGGGGGCGGTGCGCGCCGCTCTCTGCTGCAGTGCAATGCAGAAGCAACGCTGGAAGGGTCGAGTAATCAAAGCTTTTACCCATGAGACCCCTCCGTACCCCCATAAAAAGTTAATTTAGTAGTATCATGTGGTCCGATGGACCACGAATCAGATAAAGTGTAGCCACTGCCTTTTTCGTTTTCCGGTTTTTTTTCGTATCCCTAATCTGTCCAGGAAGGCAAGCCACATTCACACTACATCGAAGGTTGTCCAAAAAACCAAAAAAAGAAAGAGGAGGGAAACCGTTCTCAATCATTCAATGAAAATAGCACCCGCTCGGACAAATGAAAAGCGAAGGCGAGACTAGATGGAAGCAGGGAAAAAAATTCCCTCCCGCCCCCCCCCCCCCCCCCCCCAAAAAAAAAGCCCCCCTCCCAGTAAACCTCTCTCTCTCTCTCTCTCTCTCTCTCTCTCTCTCGCCCGCAATCTCTCTCTCTCTCGTTTCTGAAAACGAAACGAGAGTAAATATTGATGGGACGCTGGACCCGGTTTCCAGCAGGTGCAGCTCCCCACCAATAGATGGAGTCTTCTACACAGGGACGATTAATCAAAAGAAGGTAAAAAAACCCCCCCCCCCCCCCCCCCCCCCCGCCCCAAAAAAAAAAGAGCGGAAAATGGATGAGCGCCGGTTACCGTGTGATTGTACTTCGGCCAAATGAGCAATGTGCAGAACGTAAGTAATTGCGGTCAGGTACGTCCAGAAAAGTCTCTAGTGTGAGTATGGGCCTCGCGCCAGCACGGGCGAAATGTGCAAAACGAGAGTGAATCTTCCGGTCGAACATGGAAAGATACACCGCCATGATTTTTCTCTTTTGTGCATGTCGAGAGTAGTGTATCCAGGTGCTATGCCCTGCCTGGCCCCCGACTTCGAGATGGCAAAGTCCGCAGATTTTGCGAATTTGAGGTCTAGTGTATGGCATTGCCCTTTTGCTTTTCAAAGCGAAGTACTTTCCGTCTCCATTAATTGCGCTTAATGTTCGCTGTTAGCGACAGACAAAGAAGCTCAGTGATGACATTATATGTTTCTTTATCCGTCTGTTACCCTTGGCAATAAGCCGTGTGCGTGTGTGTGTGCGTGTAGATGTGTGTGTGTGTGTGTGTATGTGTGTGTGTGTGTGTGTGTGTGTGTGTGTGTGTGTGTGTGTGTGTGTGTGTGTGTG